ATTTCTCTCTGGCTCGTTATGGGATATATCGATCTTCAACAACATTCCGACGAGCTCCTGGGAAGACATAGGCTACTTTATCGACCGCGGCCTTTTAGAGCTCCACGTATATGAGAAAATCTCACTTTTTCGACAAAAACATGTTTTCGGTGGAAGATTGTACTACCTTTTGTTTAATTGCGGTAGGTACTAAAACTTCGCCAAAATCAATTTTTGCTATTCAACAAATTACCATAACCATAAAGTCAAGGTGCACGAATAGTATTTCCAGGGATAGTTGTCGCGAGTTCTAGCTTTAATTTAAGCCCAAGTTCTATCACCTTTTGTTTTTTGCTAGAGCTTCTCAAATATTGCAAAAAACCTGATTTTTTTGATACTTTGACCACGTTTTTCCCAAAATCTAAAGCGGATGGATACTTACAGATTCGTAATCAGCACAAAAAAAATCTATCAAAAACAGCTTTTAACATTTTTGGAAACAAATTTTTCTCCTATTTTTGTTGGCCTGTGTAATATATCTATTTTTCATACATACTATGTACATATGTATATATATCATGGAAATTATGCTTTAATCAAATTTCGAAAAAGCTTTATTTCTGCAGTTAAAACGCGGCCATTCGTTTTGAATTTCGAGAAATGGAAGTCGTTCATGAGTTCAAGGATAAAAATGCAATATTGCTACATGGTTGAGCCGTTTTGTTGCATTGCAGTGATCGGACTTCTACCACATTGTGGTAGATCTGCCACTTTTTTGAGCATCTACCACATCTACTACTCAAGGTCTGCAATCTACCACATATTCGCGTTTATGAGTAGTTTTATTTTTGCTTGGCATAATTTTCTTAGTCTTAAGAGCAAAAATTGTCCAATACTAAACACTATATTGATGGCTGAGTGAAAGATCGACCTATCTCGGTAACCAGTTCGAAAACGCCCTGTCTCAGAAAATTTTTCAGCTTACACTGTCAAGGAAAAAATTGCCAAAACTCAACGCAATTTTTAGCAACTTCAATCTTGCACTTTATTATACTAAAACAAGTAAGAAAGTCTAAGTTCGGGCGGAGCCGAACATTAAATACCCGGCGCAAGTATCAAATATATGTTTTTCACCTTTCCGAAAGCTATCGCTACATGGTAAACCGGGGTGTATCAAGTTTGAGTAAATTAGCGTCCTTAAATTTCGAAATATTTCATTTCATTTTATTAAATCAATTGTAACAAACCTTACTGACTAGATTAAGAGAGATACTTAATAATAATTTAACAGCTAATTTAAGGATATGGTTAATTTGCTAAGTAATACGACTCAATGCGTGACTTGAATAAAGACCTTGGCATCGCAAAATCAAGATCAATAGTTCTAGAAAGCCGATTAAACTCATTAAGCCCTCTTATAAGAGGGGCAAAGTCTCTCTCTAAAGAAGTTCGATCTTAAAATTTCAGTATGAAATAGGTTGTGAGAGCGAAGTACTCTATTAGGAACATTGAAACTTAACTGCCCAAGTAGATCTGAGCAGTCAATTGTACCGGAAATTACATCGTATATAAACAGTTTTGAATGAATCGTCTAACTTCGAGCGATAGAACATTGATGAGCATGCACCTACCATTGTATGGTGGCAAGGGATTATCAAACTGAAGTGGTTGAAGAGCAAAACGAAGAAACCTGCGTTGAACTCTTTCAATTCTAAAAGAGTGTGAGGAATACATCGGATTCCAGATGATTGAGGCATACTCCAACTTCGATCGCACTAAAGAATTATATAAGATTTTTCTTATGTAAGGGTCTTTGAAATCACTGGCATAGCGTCGCAGAAAAACTAAGTTAGCATAAGCCTTCGGAATAATAAAATTAATGTGGTTACCGAATGTAAAGGATGAGTCAAAAATAACTCCAAGATCCCGAAATTCTTTAACAGAGGTATTTGAGACAGAATAGGTCGAGGAATGCAAATTCAAAGACTTGGAGAAAAATCGGTCAAAATGGTGTCAACTTGACACCCACTTTTAAACGCGGATTCGTAACCGTTGATCGTCCACCCAAAAACCCACGCTGACATGGATCTATTATTCCTTTAATAGCAAAGGCTAGCTTATCCTTAACCACTGTCTCAAAGAGTTTGGAGCATGTCGACAATTTAGATTTTGGCCTGTAATTCGATACTTCATTCTTATTACCAGACTTGAAAATTGGAGTGATAGATGCCAACTTCCAACGGTCAATAAAAATGCCAAGCATTTCTGAAATTTACCGTTATATGAAAAGCCGCCGTAATTTTAGTCCGATTTTAGTAATTTTCAAAGTTTTGCTTTTATGTGGCAAGCACAATAACCATACTGAGTTTGGTAAAAATTGGCTGAACGGTTACCGAGATACATACTTCTTCTTCTTCTTTTTTGGCGATGAAACCGCCTAAGTGTTTTTGGCCGAGTTCAGAAAAGCACGCTAGTCATTTCTAGTCTGTGCCAACTGACGCCAATTGAAGCCAAGCCCTTCACCACCTGATCTTTCCATAGCAGTGGGGACCTCTTCCTCTGCTACCACCAGCGGGTTCCGAGTTGAATACTTTCAGAGCTGGAGCGTTGGTGTCCATTCGAACGACATGACCAAGCCAGCGGAACCGCTGTATTTTAATTCGCTGCATTATGTCCATATCGTTGTAAAGCTTATACAGCTCATCGTTCCATCGTCTGCGGTACTAGCCGTCGCCAACGCGTAAAGGCCCGTAAATCTTCCGCAAAATCTTTCTCTCAGACACTCCAAGAGCCGCCTCATCGGATGTTGTCATTGTCCATGCTTCTGCGCCATATACCAGCACGGGCATGATGAGTGACTTATAGAGCGTGGTTTTCATACGTCGAGAGAGGACTTTACTTCTGAATTGCCTTTTCAGTCCAAAGTAGCACTTGTAGGCAATAGTGATTCTGCGTTGGATTTCAATGCTGACATTATTATCGGTGTTAATGCTGGTTCC